GGCTTGGGCTTGGGCTTGGGCTTGGACTTGAGGCTTGAGTCTTGAGTCTTGCTGGGCTGGCTTGAGTGTAGAGGTTGGGCTTCGCCTGCCCATCTTAATCTTTTTGGGCTAAGCCAGTGTTGTAGGCTGCAGAATTATACACATTACACGTGTATAAAATGTGTGCAACTCCTCCATAATGATGATGGGTTAATCCATCAAATTTGCAGTGAATATAGAATTCATTTTTGCATTTGTGATGGGCCTTAATGGCATGAGTCTTTTCCTCTCTCTCTCTTTCTCTCTCTCCACGTGTATAAAAGGAGGCCCCCTCCTTCAGTTTTCACCACTAGAAAATTTACTCTTCCTGTCTTCAAAAGTTTTCCTCTAGCTTTATATTCTTTCTAGTGAGAGAGTGCTGCCAAAGTTCTGTTCACCAAAGCTACTCAGTAGGTGCATTGCTATAGTTGGTCCAACCATCGTATCCTCGGAGACAAACATCGAACAACCTCCAGCACTCAACCGGTGAGGCGGCAAATCTGTTTTAAGGAGACTGTCTAGTGTAGGCTTTGGTTTGCTTCCTTTTGCCAATTTATTTTATTCTATGATTTTGTTCCTTCTACTTGTAATTTTTCAGCATGTGTCTTGTTGTGAAATTTCAATTGTTAATTATGAATCTATTTGTTTTACTTAAGCACACAATTTGTACAACACTATGCAATGAAGGGCCTAAAATAATTTATACAATTATATTTTATTGATATTTGTTTAAATATGACATCTTATTAAGCTTAGGCTAAAATTTATAAAAAGAAGTAATAGTTCTTGTATTGAGTTATATATATATATATATGTATGTATATGTATGTATGTATTTTATGAGTGCAAACAGTTCGGTTTAGTTGGAATTGAAAAATAAAATAAAATTAACATCAATTAAAACTTTTCGATTTTGTTGGTTGAGGTAAAGAAATGGATTGTGGTTTGATTTTATTAGTCTTGTCAGTTTGATGTAGAAGAAGGATTCACATGAGATTTTAATAGATTTTTTTTATAGAAACTTGTACAATCTCACATTAGGAATGGACAAAAAAAATGATAAAAGTTATAGCGATCCCGGTTTTGACCCGATCTTGTTGTATTCCGGACTCGGGTTTCGCGGTTTAATATTGTTATCCACATCTTGTTTTCCTCCTTTAACTCTTTGAATTTGAGCTTTGGAATATGTTAGACGTGTTTGGAACAGGTTGGTTGTTAGTTGGTCTAAATTGTTGTTGCCCAGATTTTGGCTTCTTCGCTTGGGCGAGACTTCTTGCGCTCGAGCGAGCCTTGTGAAATTTGCTTCTTCGCTCGAGTGAGGTTTCTTGCGCTCGAGCGAGATTTGAGAGTCCTCAGGTTTCTTTCCCAGACGCAGAATTTCTGGGAAGGTGAAGTTCTTCGCTGGAGCGAGGCTTCTTGCGCTCGAGCGAGCGTGTGCGTCTGTAACACTTCTGAAACTTTGCATTCTGCACTCGAGTGACATTTTTTGTGCTCGAGCGAGGTCACTTGTTGTGTCTGGTCGCTCAAGCGACAACTCCTTCGCTCGAGCGAAGGTCGCGTATATCAGTTTGTAGCAGAGAAATCTTACATCACTTTTTGATTCCCATTCTTCTAAAACCCTAATCTGACACCCTCTCTCTCTACAAATACTCTTTGATACAAGCACCACTACCCTACTTCCTTTGAGAAAAAGGTGGAGCATCTTGTGGGCTTCCATTCCATCCGAACAAAACTTGGTTTTGTGTATTTTAAGGTTCTTTTTCCTTTCATTTGGGCTTCTACACTTCAGGTAAGGATCTTCTACACCTTAATATGGCTTTTAACCTAGATATGTTTTGTTGTGTATAGATGATGAGATTTGAGAGTAATTTTGAGTAACCTAGGGTTTGGGTTCAAAATTTAAAAGAGGGGTTTTCCATGTTGATCTATAAAATGACTATGGGGCCTTGTGTATGAAGTTTCTCTAATGCTAAAATGGTGGAATCTAGCCATTAGGTTGAATTTGAGGAAAATTTGGAGATT